CCATCAGGAAATACCCAACAACTTGCTTCTCCATTCTCGGATCGAATGATACTTTGAGCATCAACAGCGTGATCTCGAAGACGGATCTATCGAAGTGTTATTGGAGGTTAATCGACTTACCTGTAAGGAAGTTCAATCCCCATTTATACGAGATGGCCCCGTCCCAAGAGATCACCGAGCAGGAAACATAAACTACACTGTGATCTCGTATAATTGAGGATTGAACTTCCTTAAGTCGTTTAACGTCTAATTATATAGGGTGTTCCTTAATGATATGCAAATATTTAAGGGTGTGCATCTACATGAAAAATTAATGTTAGTTTGCTTTATAAACGATGGTTCAAAAATGGTTCCTTACAAAAACTCGGGGTGTTGAAGTTTTAGGAAAAAGATGGAATTTAATTAATATTTCCAGAACCGCTTCAGATATTTCACTGATATTTAGTACGTAGTGAAAGTTAATAAAGCTGCATGTCTCTCAATGCAAAGATAATTTTTAGCTTTAACAGTGGCGTGCGTACGGGTATTGACTTCGATATTTTTTAAGAAAACATGATACGCCAACGGTTTTTTGCCAAATATAAATTATTTTTAAATTCCCCATTCAATTTAAAATAAATGATATCCCTTGAGTTGCTTTCCTTCGTTGCGCCATTTTTGAGTGAAAAAATAAAAACCGTTCTATTGTCTAACTTGCAAAATTATTATTAATTTAATTGGAAAAATTAAACACATTAGGGGTAATGAACAATAACAACTGACAATATAAACATAACATTAAAACCAACAAAATGATAACAAAAATTGTTGCAATTACCCCCTTCTCTTAGTATGCATGCTTCCGCCTTCCTTCTCATGGAATTGCGCACTCGTCGAAATATCCCTGGCGTGTTTTTATTCTATCACAGGCTGCAACTATTCTTTCTCTTAATTCCTCTACAGTGTTAATGGGACTTGTGTACACTAGTGTCTTAAGATAGCCCCACAAAAAGAAATCTAAATTGTTGATCTAAATTGTTGAGGTCTGGGGACCTTGGTGGCCATTCTTGGGCCCCACCGCGGCCAATCCAACGATTTGGATAAACGGTTTTTAAATAATTACGAACCGCTACACTGAACTGAGCTGGTGCACCATCATGCGTGTATCACATATTGTTTCTTATTACTAACGGAACATCATCAATCAGCAAAGGTAACTGTTGTTGAAGAAAATTGAGGTAAGTCTGTCCGTCAAGTCGTCCCGGCAAGAAGAATGGGCCAATAGAGTGGTTGCCAATAATTCCTGCCCATACGTTAACCGAAAATTGGTGTTGCCAATGGGTTTCGGTTACTGCATAGGGGATTTTCTTCTGCCCACAAATGATTATTGTCAAAATTCTGAATGGCATTTCGAGAAAAATTAGCTTCATCCGTGAACAGAATCATTGATTCAAATTGGGGATTTTGTGTAATTTTTTGAAGATACCACTGATAAAAGGTCACACGCCTTGGAAAATCAATAGGAAGTAATGTCTGTACTCTTAAAATATGGTAAGGATATAACAAAAAATCCACTAAAATTGTCCAAACAATTTGATGGCAAATATTTGAGTGTCTAACGATCTTCCTCGTACTCGTTTCAGGATGTTTTTCGACTTCGTGCAGCACTGCTTCCTCAGTTTCAGGTATTCTCACACGTAGAGGTCTACGTTCAGATGTTCCTTTTTGGACAGAACCAGTTTCAACAAGACGACGATGGATATTAGAGCTATTAGACTATCTGGCAGAGCACAATCGGGATATCTCTGGTGATAAATCCGTCTGGGTTGTTCACCATTACCATCGGCAAGGCCATATACGTAATTTTTATTAACAAGAGTGTAAAGACTAAATAATGAAAAAGATATCACAGCGAACAGATTTGAATAACAGATACTTGTCAGATGTCAAAAGCCAATGCCATATTCTGGAGCAACTAGATATTTATTGCTAAATTGCATTCTTCAATTATTACATTAATTTGTTTTAAAATGAACGAGAAATTCAAAAATAATTTTTATTTGGCAAAAAACCATTGGCGTACCATTTTTTTCTTTAAAAATATAGAAGTCAATACCCGTACGCACGCCACTTTTACAGCTAAAAAATATTTTTGCATTGAAAAATATGCAACTTTATTAACTTTCACTACGTACTAAATATCAGTGAAATATCTGAAGCGGTTCTGAAAATATTAATTAATTTCCATTTTCTTCCTAAAACCTCAACGAGTTTTTGTAAGGAAACATTTTTGGACCATAGTTTATAAAGCAAACTAACAGTGATTTTTCATGTAGATTCACACCCTTAAATATTCGCATATCATTATATTATGTATACGGAAAGTTGTTTCCTTTGCCATTTACTCACTATTATTTTGCACTGTTCGCTGATTCAAATTCAAACCAAAAACACTGATAAACTTTATAATTAATAAGATTATTGGAATTAAGTGAGTGTTGTCACGTAGTCAGTGGTTGGTACACTTAAAGAAGATAAAAGTTTAGGTTAGAAATTGTGCACGGAAATGTACCCAATAGCTCTAATTCGGAAACAATGTTAAAATCAGTCTCTACTTGTCATTATTAGTGTAAAGTCGGCAGTAATAGTGAATGGCAGTATTTCAATAACTCCCTAACTGTAGGTTATTTATATTCACCAGTGGCATCTAGCCTCTATTAAAACATCTCCGTCTCCCAATGAAACACCCTGTATAACACTATATTCGTTGCACCTGATTGAAAAGGATCCAGATACTTGGCCTATATGATCAGCGTTACAGAAATTGCATGAGATTTTGTAAACATCAAACCTAAACATACATTAGTCTTCTTTTGCGTGATTAAGTACCTATTACTTCAGTGTATATGCTATGTCTGCGAGTATATTTTTGAAAAATAATTATCAACAGTACATTTTCCCAAAATACAGGGTGACTTTGAAGTTGAGTCATTAATTTTCAGATAATGATTGTAGAAGGAAGATAAACCAAAATATGTGTGTAAAAATAAAAAAAAATTAAAAAAATGTTACCTTGTTTTATAAAGTATCCTCCCGACAAGTATTCCAGTGCGGACATGTATTTGATCGTGCGGTCTTGGAGCACCGGCATGCCCTCCCCTGTGAGGTCTTAAGTCACCTGATTCACGAGCCCTTTGTACTACATTAACAAAGGCACGAGGGGTTGGTTGCACTCGATTGGGAAACCGATCCGCATAAATCCGTGATGCCGCGTAAATAAGAATCATGTCCACAAGTTCAGCATTTTCGTAAACATGTGCCATTTTTGATTTCGTTTGAGCCACGCAACAGACACCACTATTCACTCACGCGTTACCGACTGACACTGACTGAATACAACTGAATAAAATAATTGTAAAAACATCGTTCCAAATTCTTTCGCTTTTTTGTTTCCGATGCGATGAACCGATAAGGCGGATTATATCCGTTGTTGCCAAACACGAGCACATAATATTATTATTGAGACAGGGCGGTACTCAAACTTCCAAAGGGCTATAACTTTGTTACTTTAATTTTACCAGAAAAATGGTAAAGGAAAAAACATTTCTTTTGATCAGATCTACTCACTGTTAAAATAAATGACTCAACTTCGAAGTCACCCTGTATAACCGTTTTCAGTTCCTTCGGCTCATGAATCCTAAAATTGAATATTACAGAAAAATTGTAATGGAAGTGGTTTAAACCTACTCAGTTTTAGATAGATAATAACGAGATTAACCGTACTTGCTTTTAAAATCATCCGCAAAAAATAATTTATGATATAACAAATAACGTATCTCTCTATAGAATGTCCAACTGCGATTCATATCCCAATGATCAAAACCAATCATTGCTCTGTTTAGCATACTGCATGGTGGTCCGTAATTAATTTATATTAAGACAAGCGTACCTCAGTAAAATAAGGGTCGTTAATGAGATATAAGGAATCAAAGTTCAATTCTCGGAATCTTCATTTCCTTGAGTATCAACGGAATTTGGGTTTTCAGGGATAAGGAACAAGATTATATTTTATTTATCCAAATAACATATATATATTTATCTTAGCTTTTATGTCAATTCCGTTCCATCATTTTTTATTGAAGATGATGGAAGACTGATTATTTTCGACAGTAGGTATACAAATTTTTTTTGTTCTGATCAGAATCGTTCCGAGGTATTCATATTTGAACATTTTATCTACGACCGGATGTTAAAGTGTACTATAGGTACTATTAATTTAAAGAAGCCCTACTTTCTATCCCGCCGTCTACATTATGCCCTAGGGCGGTAAATTAGCTTTAGTACCCGCCACATTTGAGTTATCCTATGTTGAACACAAAATGGCAACTACGAGATCTGTTAACTTTTAATTCTACTTAAAACATGTTCCAAATTGTTGTATTCAGCCGGTCGTAGATAAATTTTATATATGTCTTGGGCGTAATAAGCTTTAAATTTTGAGGTTGCTATTGATAAGATTTCTTTTAGAAGATCACGCTTTTGGACATGACTGTCATTAACGAACCGTCACTCGTTAGTGTCGTCTACTCTACACTATCCCTTTTTGATTTATCGGGAAGCACTCTGTTAGAGCCATCATTCAATTGGTTCATTATTATAACCACAAATCCATAACCGTTCATACACACGCCAAAAGCAAATATAACCAAAACCACAAAACATTCAAAAACTAAGTGCTGTGCAAATGTCAAAACCAAAATAGCCATACGAACTAAGATTGTCACTAATGCTTCGTAAATAAACACGATTGAATAGTTAAAATATTTCAACAACTCGCAGGTCACTGTGGCGCCGGCGCCACCTTGGTATACCCGCAATTGTACCAACAAATGTATTGACCAAGAAACTCCCTATTATTATTTTCAGAAGTTCGGTCTATGATTGCTTTTTAGAGCCTTTATTGTATATACCCAACGGTTTCAATTCATCATTATGAAATAATTACTGACTCTTATTTTCAGTTTCTTCTTCTACTAGTAATGTTATCTATGATAGCATGTGCGGTGTATCAGATCCTGATATCTCTACTAAAGGCAGTAGTCCTATTAACGGGACTAGCCGGCTTCCTAGGAGTCTACGTCAGTTACAATAGAGATGTTATTTCGTCTCCTTGTTTTCATGAAATTAGGTAAGTTATTAGTATACATAGCATATGTGCACTTTTTACATCCATAAAATATGCAAAATGTTCCTTTATAAGTGCCCAATATTTCACGGGACAATTCCTTAGGTGTTTGGAAGACCAAAAGTTGATATAAACATACGATCTAAGATTTCCGATTACCTAGCCAGGGGGTGATGAATAATTGCACGCCCCTGATAAGGCTCATTAAGAACAAATCTTGCAGATCCCTTATACAACGCTGTGGGTGGAGTTACTTTCCGAATATACAGTTTTTAATGTCAAACTTCTCTAACTTCACAATGTCTTTAAAGTAGAAAGGATTGAAGTTTTTCATATGGAATATATCTCAAGTATTTAAACCAATTTTTCTTTGAAAGCAATGATGTGACAGAAATTTCTGGAGAAACAAGTTCTGTACAATTAAATACCCGATCTAAAAATACAATGGAATGCACGGAGATGTAACTTTTTTATGATTTTGAAATTATGACTCCGAAACCCTGTATCTCGGTAAGGGTACATTGGCGGAATTTTTCTCATGCAAGGTTTTTTGGGTAATAGGAAACTTTGTATATATTTTAATTGTGTATCAGCCTTCAACAATTTTTGAAGAATAAGAGGTAGCAAACATTCTCAAGACAGTAAATCTGCAAATCTGGAATATAGTCACTATGATACACATGCAAATTTTAAGGAACATCTCTAACATGCTACGGGTGCCCATTAATAGCTAAGAAATTGTCCTGTTTAGTGTTGAATACTTAATAAGAAACACCCTGTAAACTATTTGTCAGATGAGCTCACGGGGATATTGTTCCCTTACACATGCAGCTAGCAAACATCATTGTTTGCCATCAGTATTTCTACGTTTCCGAGTATATGTAAGAAGCTGGTTGAATAAAGGTTCGAAAAGCCTTTAAGCGCCTTCGCATTGTCGCAAACAAGAGAAGTTAGATATGACAATTCGTATACATATCTATACATATATATATAAAATATATAAATAAATGCCTATGTCCCGTGGTCAAGCCATAACTTGAGAACGACTTTACCGATTTCATTCATCTTTTTTCCTAATACTTTATAGAAGGTCCTTACGAAAAGAAAGATCAAGAAAATTGCGCAGAAAATTGGAAAATCATTGAAAACCTAATGATTATTTGAGCTACGCGCGTTCGACAGTTCGCTTGAGCATGGGGCACGCACAGCAGAAGAAATTTTTCAATTACCGAAAGAGAGGGGCACTCCTCTACGCCATATTTATTCCAACAGCTATGAAGAATTAGCTATGTGTGAGAAAATTGCTTATGCAAACACGGTGCTTTCGTTTTTGGACTTTCATTTCTTTACAATCGTACTTTGTGATAGCCCCTTCGAAAGAAACTGCAGTGTTGCCTAATTGTTGTCTTTGTCAGGAATAAAAATGGCGTATGAAAATACATTTCTTTTGCTTAATTGACTTTCGCTACTCTATCATTTTGAACTTGACAGCTTGCACGCCGCAAATTTATATTATCGTCTCACAGTGTTTATCGGTGAAAAATATTGTTTTATTTAACTAGTAGTGCACAGTCCATTCGATTAGAGCTTTTATCCAGTTTTCAATTCGTTCAGTGAGTTTTCTTGAGAAGTATTTGTTCAAAAATAGTTAACAAGGGTGGCAGTTAGTTCACCGCAATCACGCCTTATATAAAAATTGTGATTCATCAAAATGCCACCAATTAGACGTACCAACCTAGGACGCAGAACTCGCAATGCTGCAAGTCGAAGATATATACGAAGTCAAGCTGACGATCAACGAGAAGCGAGAAATGAAGCTGAACGGGATCGAAGGACCGAAATTCACCAACATAGAAGTGTCACATTTAATCCCGATCGAGCTGCTTTCAATTATGACGTGCAATTCGACCAATGGACTTTGTGCGTCCACAATGCAAAGTTTTCAGGGTCAAAAATGAAGCCTCTGGATTATGTTGCGTCAGTGGAAAAATCAAATTGACTCCATTGGTCCCACCACCAGATCCACTACATTCAATGTTTTCCGGAAATGAGCCAGATTCTATTCATTGTTTGAATCATATCCAGCAATACAATAATTGCTTTCAAATGACGTCATTTGGCGCAACAAAAGTCATTCGACATAATTGTATGCCTATTTTCAAGGTAAGTTGATGGGGGAATGGCAGTGCTGCCAACGTATTTTGCTAGCCACATGGCGGTACAAGCACTTCGCTATACAATTACCTAGATTCCATATCCCAGATCATAGCTAAGACAGGACAACGTCTGTCCGGTCAGCTAGTGTATAATAAAAATAATAATAATAGTAATAATAATAAAAGGTCTATTAACCTAGCGGATATACAGCGGAAAAAATACACGAAATAGAAGAAAGTTTTCCCAGCAAAGTAAAACGAATAATTATTCCACAAACAAGTAGTTGAACAGGTGTAGGAAAATCAGATAAAAAAAAATTTAAAATACACATATATGATAATAAGTCAGGTTATACAATGTGGAACCATTCAAAATGAACTCCTTAATTTTAATTTTGAAGGATTGTATCGGCAGGGTTTTTAAAGTAGCTGGCAGGTTATTATATTGTCAAGGTGCCACATAGGAGAGAGATTTTTTCAAAAAGGTTGTCCTGTATGACGGCATATTTAGTGTATTTTTTTATACCGAAGCAGCTGCGCAGGCAGAAGCCTAAATGCATGGACACCGCAGCTGCTATGATGATGCCAAAGAAATTTTGTTAGTCCAATTTTTGTATTGTCTAAGGTTAGTAAAACTGGGAAAATCTTCCTCTTGTAGATCGTTCCACAATCTCGACAGCCTCGGGACAAAGGAGCGCTCCGTATCGGCCAGTTCTGGATGTACGAAGCTCGACACGGCGGGTCTGTCTGGCACGCACATCGCGCGGCGGCATCATGGAAGAGAGCTCTGATGAGCAAAGCCCGTTGGTGTAGCGGTAGAAGAGAGCTAGATCGCCGCCGACGGCCCGCTGGTGCGAAAGGGTCCCGAGACTCTGTTAGAGAAGAGTCATCCATCAGCCGGACAAACCTTCTCTGGCAGCATCGTGCAGACTTTATGTAATCGGGGCGGCGGCACCCCAAACGTGTGAACAATACTCGAGGCTAGGCCTTATCTGAGCCTTGTATAGAGTGAGAAGGTAATGCAGAGAAAAGTACTTCTTAGCATTAAACAGAGAGCCGGCCATCCATCGAAACCGGATGATATCTAGGACGCTCTTTGTTCGTCAAGGTACAGTACTGCGTTTAGGAGGCATTAAACTGTACAAGACTATTGCGACCCCAATCAGTGACAACCTCCAGGTCTCTCGACAGCGAGGGAGTCGTCGCTTGTCTTCAACTCCGCGGCAGAGATCTGCATGTAGAGTGCTGTCATTAGCGAAGCTATGGATTGGGTTGATTGTGCAGGAAAGGAGGTCGTTGGTATGTTAGAGGAACAGTGTCGGAGCCAAGACCAATCCCTGGGGAACACCGTTAAGTTTGCTTAAGAGGGCAGCGTACCACAGATGGTTGCACACTTTCATGATGTCAAGAGCAACGATATCAGCCTCACCATAAGACTGAATGAGTTTACTCCACAATTGCGGGACGTAAGCTAGGAGATTCCCTGAGAATCGCCGTAGTTGTAAGGGTCGGTCTTAAATCCTTTTTTTGGGCTGGGGTGGATATGAGCAAATTTCCAGTTTTCTGGTAAGGTGCCGGATTAATAAGATATCTGGAAGAGACGCGAAAGTACTTGAGCAAGCTCCGCTGCACACCGCTTCAGTACAATGGCAGGAATCAAGTCCAGACCAGAAGCGTTGTTAATGTCGAGCGACAAGAGCACTCGACTTACGATCTTATGCCTGAATGTTACAAACCCGCATAGTGTAGGGCACTCTTTGAATTGACGGCACTTGGGCGTTGGGGAGACGTCCGTGGTGGAGTTGGCAGCAAATATATTGGCAAGCACTTCCGCCTTGGCCTTTGAGTCGGATACAACCGTTCCATCCTGACACGTAGGTGGTGGAAGGCTGTGTGATTACTTATTTTCGGTCTGATTGGCCAGCGTCCAGTAAGACTGACTGCTACTGCACTGTGACATTACCCTGTGCCTAACGTTTATATCGTTAAAGAGGATTGTATGGAGAGAAGACAGGGGTTGTACTGCCCATCCATATCTTATATCCTTAAGATGCCTGGAAATTCTTTCTCTTCTCGAGATCCGTGAAATATACCGTACAGAGCTGTTTTGGACCTTTTGTATTCGGGAAGCCTTCTTTGGAGTAAGACAGGGCCCAATAACATAAGCAGCATACCCGAGGACGAGGCTGTTAGTGAACTAAATTTTGGAATCCTAACGGGGCATATTTTTAAAACTGTAAATAGACTTCAACTTCGCATAAGCGCTTTGAACAGTCCTGGAAACATGATCATGAAAAATAAGGTGTTGATCAAATGTTACACCAAGGTACCGCACGCTAGGCGTACGATCAATTTGTTTTCCTTCAATATAAAGTTTCACATAATTACTTTGAAAATTTCTACTTCCAGACTTAAAATTTATGCTGATTTTTCAATTCGTTGGTTTCAAACCAAAAACATCACTATTGAGATCGGTGGGCAGGTTTGTTGATAGTTGAACCTGAGAGAAAAGATAAATATAAGAGATTGTCATTAGCGCATGTGTGCATCTTGCAATATTTAATCGCCCTGTCTAAATCCGAAATATACAGCGTTAACAAAATAGGACCAAGTATATTTAACACATTGCGTTCTGTTGGAGAGAATGGAAGAAGCTAAAAACCTAAAATAGTGCTTCTTAGTCAGCTTCAGTTGATAATTTATACAGTGGAATGTTTTACTGAGATCCAACATAATAGTTACTGACCCAGCATCCAGTGCTCATCACACATGACCGCTAAGGTCCGCTGAGGTAGTAAGCATCCTATGACCACTACGGAAACCTGATGGTAGCAAATTATTCATTTA